AAGGGGGGGGGGGGGGAAGAAAAGAAAAAAAAAAAGGTGGTATGGTTAAAATCCTTAGCATAGGGAGTTATTGGAGCATCCTTATTAGTTTGAGCAATTTATGAGCAGAAAATATATGAATACCACATACATTAGTGCTGTTACTTAAGGATAACGTTCTCTACAAACCTACATGCATTTTTATATTACTATTTACTTAGTGCGGCAATTTATTGGCATCTCTTCCTTATGACACATCTACCACACTGCACATTATGCTTTTTTTGAGGAGGCAACTAAAGTAAGTGAAGACAAATCATTTTAAATAGCCTATTGCTAATTTTAATTAGTACAGTCAATTAATTTTAAAGGTGTACGTATAAATTGCTCATAGTTTTCTAACCACTGTATTCTTACAGTTATTCTTTCCCCCTTGCTTCAGTCCTATATTGGATGTGAATTTGTAAGGCTTCCTCTCACCAATATTTTTCAGCTTCTGCTATTTTAAGTTATGCCCATCTTTTCAGTATTTTGTAATAAATGCTTTGCTATTGCTAATAAATGGAAAGTTCCAAAATACAGTAATTTCCAATATTAGAGAAACAAATAAAACCTAAGAACTGTATTCAGGAAAAACAACTGGGAGAAAACATTTCTGAATATATCCCTGTGTGATGTGGCATCTGTCATGAGCTTTCATAAGCCACTTAACGTCTCAGTAGGCTCCAGACATTATTGAAGTTGTTTCATCCCAAGTCTATGTCTCCTTGGTAGGCAAAGTTGAACTAAATCACCATCAGATGATTAATCAGGCTTAATGTTTTAGACAATGTTTCAGATTAAGATAGGTCAGATATTAAAGATCTTGAGACAGAATGAAGGTCATGCTTAGTCTGCTGTATGAATTCTGGTATCCACTCAGATTATCTGACTGTATATTCCTTTCTCTTTTCTCATTAACAGCATTTTGGTCCATGAAACAAGAATAGAAATACTTTGAAAATATTATGCCACTCCAAATTAGATGAAAAAAAACAATCAAAAACCTAGCAGCATGTTTGTAGAGGAAACTATCAATTCAGAACGGTTTTCACTATTTCACTATTGACTAAATGTGTCACACATGCACAAGTGAACGAAATGAACCTCAGGCTGAACACTTTCATAGATCAGCACACACGATATTTTGGTTGCTCTTACCTACAGTAAGACACTTTGCAGCAGCATACTGAATAAAAATGTGCTGTGGGTCTTCCTCTTCTTTTTTACTTAGATGTATGAGAGCACAGAACAGACATCTACTTATATCTGCTTTTTTTATGCTACTAGATGCTGCTGTTATTATAAGCATAAAACACTAAAAAGGACTGCAAACCGCTTTTTGCACTGTAAGCATCATGCTATACAGTGTCAATTAAGCTATTTCAATAAGATACAGGTTAGAAGGAGAAAAAATTTTCACGTAACATAAATGCTAATTAAACTGTGATTTCAAGTTGAAAACTGAACTGTCGGGTAATTAGACAGGTGATTAAACTTTCTTCAACTTCACACTTGAAAAGACATCAGATGCTTGCTTAGTCTCCGCACAGTGACGTGTGTCAATGATATTCAGATGTCAAAGCTGTATTACTTTTAGGGCAACATTCTAGAAGAGTCATGGTCCATATTTCTTCTGAAATTGCAAAAACTGGTCTCAAAAAGCACTGGTTAAGTCCAAAACCTAAGCCTCTTTGTAAACGGCAAGACAGGATCCACATGCCTGTTCTAACAACTCCTCATACACCAGGTCCTGTCCCATGCTCTCTGCATGGAAGGACCCAAATACTGATTTCATGTACATCCTGCTCGCTTCAGCAGAGCATAAATATCAGTTACCAACAACAAAAGGAGAAGGGAGCTCGAAAGCAAGTTCAGATCATGAGTATGCATAGCAAAAGCAGCAAATATAATATATAACTTGAAGTTTTCTTTCTTTTGGGGTATATTTGTAGGCCCTTAAAGCCTCATTCCGTGAAGAACTCAGTTTGACTGCCTAGAATATTCTTAAGGGTATATTACAGCCTCAAATATATAAACACAAAAAAAGCAAATGATAAATAATGTTTTCAACACAACATCCAAAAGTTCTGATGGCTCTTGTCAGCTGTCTGTCAGCTCCGAAAAAATAAAATTCTGGCATTATTTCAGGAACCATATAACTTCACAAAGTTTAAAAAGTCTGAAACCGAGGATCCCCAGTTAACAGTTTATGAACTAAAAGAAAAAGTGAGAACGGACCTCATCCCTGCAGACAAGCCCCTCAGACTCCAGTCTCGGGCAGCAGAAGGCGGAGGCAGCAGTGTGATTTCCAAAAGCCAGGCTGAATTTGTCAGAGCCAGCTCGGAGTTGGAGGTAATGCTCTCTGCTTGATGCTGTATTTGCCAGTGCAGAGATGTAACTACCTTCTCACAGAGCTATTTCAAGTGCATAGGACTTACTAATTCATTCTTCATGATACACTAAAGCAGCTGAAATACACCTTTCGGGCCAAGTTTTGCCCAGAACAGATGTATTTTCAAATCACTTATTAGGCCGCTAACAAGGCCTTAGAGGCTTGCACACATTCAGGTGTCTCTTTATCAATGGCACGGTTCAATTTAATCTAGATAAAGAGCCCCTGGACAATTAACAGTTGACTAAAGTACGGGGGAGTCTCTAACTGGCTATCACATCATGGCAGAGAAAGCAATACCAGTATCCATAGCTCTAGCGTGGTCCTGAGCTCATCTTGATTTTGCCTAACTGTTTTCAATATCATAAGAAGCCAGTGATAACAGCAGAAGTAAGATGACAAACTCTTTTGAGATTATCACTACATACCATAGTTGCTTTCAAAAGACAAATCAAGAAACCCTTATTTCTGGAGACTGCAGTGTCTTCACAGCCCTACTCATCATCCAGAAGTTCTTCCTGTCAAAACAAACTACAACGCGCAGTAGCGTTGGGTCGGGAAACACATGAAAAAGTGTAAACTCCCTCAGAGCGGTATTTATGACAGTAAGGGCAATGTTAACCTCATCAGAAAGCCCCTCTGCGTACAGCACAGCAGATCTATAAAAATACCAGGTAATCCATAAACTCTTTACAGCTCAAGAGTGTTTTACTTCCAATGGCCAGACTTCGCATTTTTAGAAATATAGGGCTTCTTTGACCACATTAAAATCAACATTCAGTCTTAATAATTGCCTGAAAAAGAAGCCCACTTTTGATACTCAAATGATTTAACAACTAAGATGACCAGAGTTCATCACTTACTGGACTCCGGGTCTGAGTTGCCGTCTCCTTCCGTCCGGCTGTTGGGTGAAGCTTGCTCATAGTACTCTTCCTGGGGGAAGCCGAGGGGCAGAGGGTGCGATGTGCTAGCACCGCTCGTGGGTTCATGCTCTCCAAGCCCACTGTCACTGCAGCTTTCCTGGGAGCCATCTGGTAGGTGAAACGTGACACGGCGCTGAGGCTACAAGGAAGGAAGAAAATTATATGGTTTCCACTACAGTATCAGTAATTGCTTAATGCAACCAATTTAGGAAATGTATTATTTCAGTTATCTGCTGAAGACGCATTATCTAGAGTTGTGCACAATTTCAGGCTCTCATGAACAGGCAGCCTGCTTTCAAACCCGCTTCACCTGACAGCACTGCTTTCTTCTATTTTTTAAAAATGTAAGCCCTGATGCAAAATGAAAGACACCTCAAACTAAAAAGATTCTGTCAGACTTCACAAGTCTTTGGATGCCTGTTGTATATTGACTTGGAGATTTCAATCACTTTTTGAGGCTCAATTTATTTCACTGCTCAGTTTTCTAGTTTTCAAAAAACATTTTCTTTCCCATTAAAAGCTGTTCCACACTTTTGGGCCTAAAAATGTGACACACTTCTAATGTTGTTGGATTCTTCTAAGGCAGAGAAAGAACAAACAATAACAAGCCTTATGTATTGAAAACAATTTTAATAGATTTTGCAAAGCCATTAAACTAATGAATTAAAAGTCGATTCCACGACTCTCCTACAGACATTTCATTACGACCCCTTTGATTTCTGTTATACCACAGACCTGTATCTTAGCTGTAAAAGGCTGGAAGCTGGGAAACAAGAGGGCTGAGGAAGGAAAGCGTCACAGCACAGCTACTGAAGGAAGGGCCGGGTGAATGAAGCACCTGATGCATCAGGCATAGGACAACATTTTCACTACCCAAGTGACTCTGCCTGATTTAGGAGTTGAATATCTGAAATTTAAATCTGTCCCAGTATTAAAAGAAAATATGAACAAAGAAATAAGCAGCTGTCCTGCTTATTTCCATGCATCTTATTTCCATGTGTTTTGGAAGCATGAAACATGAAGATTCAAAAAACCCCCCAAAATAACAATTTAAAATGTTCTTAGCCTGATTTTACTCAAAATTCCATTTGAAAAGCAATGCAAAACTTTCCAGTTCCAGAATTGCTGAGATTAGTAATGCTAGAGATCAGATTTTTGATGCAATTATGCAAAAAAAGTATATACCTTGTTTATAATACAGCAGATGCTGTCAAGAGGTCCCTAGATATTTGGTTCCTACAGGTGATGGTGTTGAACACCATCGATAATATTAAGTTTTTGCTAAAAAGTTAAGTTCTTCTATTTTTCAAAATCTCTTTTTATCACTGTGACACTATTACATGTGCCCACAGACAGCTGCTGTACAGTGTGGTACAGCCAAGAAAATGGCAAGATCAACTTTACCTATGCAATTCCTGACAGATGTGAGTGAAAACTCTTCTTAAAAGCTACCAGTAAGAAATTCACAGCTTTCCCAGAAAATCTGTTGTAGCGCTTCACTACTGCTAATGGAGAAGTTTTCTTCTAATGTCTAACCTGCCTCTTTCTTGTTACAAAATAAATCACTTCTTCAGTCTCATCCATCATGGTCTGGTTATTCCCACTCATCTTTCTGGCATTTGGCACTTTAGTCTACTTCAGAATAAACAGACCTTATTATTTCAATCTGTCGTGTGCCTTCTGATATCTCTTACTGCTCCCCCCTGCACACGTGCTCACACATGCTTCTCTGTGAACTGCTGAAAACTCATTACACAGCTTCAGCTGAGATCTTTAAAGCGTGGAGTAGAGCAGAAGGATCATTTCACATCTCCGCAGGCTCCACTACTGCTTTGCCTTTTTCATGGCAGCGTAACACATTTTCCTTGCCAACCACCATAATGCCCAGCTCCTTTTCTAATGATCTTTTGCTAGTTGTCCCCTTTCTGGTTATTGCCATTGATTGCCGGAGCCTAAGTGCAGCACTTTGCATTCATTCTTCCTGCCATTCTGTTTTTCCAGATGATTTTGTCTGTTTGTTATCAAGTACACTCAGCCTTCCAGTCCTGCTTTCCTGTTTACCAAATTTGCAAATTTTAGATTCTCCCTCATTAGGCAGATCTCTCAGAAAAATTGGAACAGATCAAGCCAAGACATCAGTTGAGGAGCTCTGAAAACCTGAACACAGAATGACTTCCTATCACACAGCACGGAGGGGAGAAGAGAACCCTCCTGTGACTGCAGGAGAAGTCTTAGAGCCCACTGGAAAAAAAATCAGATGGTGAAAGGTTCACAGCTAACACCCCCACACCCTGTCGCATGCATTTTTTATGTCACCAGGAGAATCTCATTATTTAACTCTCTAGCGAGCTGCCTGCAGCTGTTCCCAGGGCTCTCTGGAAGGCTGGCTGGGACAGTGGTCCTGCTCCTCCCACCGGCTGTCTGATGCTTTTCCCACCACAGACAGGTAGAGATACATGGGGTGTCTCTGCACAGTCCAAAAAACAGATGGATCCACAGAAATTACTGATACGGCTTAGCCTATTCTACTGTCAATTGCCCCTCAGAGCCCTATTCATACCAGCAGTCTCAGTCGACCCTTATCTGAAAGCCCGAATAACTGAAGTTTTATGGAGTTGAGCCAGTGAAAATAATCCTGCAATGTTTCTGATTTACTCCCTGTATACAAAACTGCACTGAGCTTGCATAGCCATATAGCGACGGAATATGGAAATGGAATATGCTATTTTTTGGTCTTAAATGAGTCTGCTATTCACAGTATCTATGAAAAATCAACCTTCACTGCATAAACTGTAAAAACTATGCGCATTTTGTGAGGTTTACATTGCCTTCATGCTGTCTCGCGTCGCGCATGTGCTGTTTGGCACTCATGTTATGTTGTATCTTCTCATCTCCAAGCTGGAGATGAGAATCTTAAGAATTCTTAAGAATTCTTGTGGATCTTAAGAATAAAGTATTCTTAAAACCTTATTAGCCCAAGTTTTAGCGTTAGATACCAGTATTAGCTTTTGCAAATGGCTGGGAATGCAATTCCCAAAGGAATGCTATTATGTGCAACTGGGATTCACTAAGTTTAAACAGATGAATATTTCTGTTCATGGTTTGTCGTCAAAATACAGCAAAAGTTCTTCAGCAGATGACAGTAAAGGAGACCAGAAAGTCATCAAGTCGTTTTTTTAACTGCCTAGCCCAGTGAGAAAAAACAAAAGCCATACCCCAAACAACATTAAAAATCTCACTAACCCTCATGTTCAGTAAAAAATTTTAAATACTTAGTTAAACAAATTGAGATGTTATTAGTAGGAAAGACAAAAACATAGGATTTAAAATAAACTGGCATCAGCTAAAGGCTCATGATTTTTAATTTGATAGTGTCCCTGAGTATGTCACACCTGATAACGCTGATGACAGAGCGCTTTCAGAAGAATTTATCAAGATGAAAAAAACCCCAGCTATTGCTCTGCATGGCAGTGCTGCCATTTTCTTAATTCATGCAGGCATCGGAAAATGATCTGGAACAAGTAATTCTAATAAAATTTTGCCAAAAGCTGGGACTTATCTTCTGTCACAATTATTTTGGAAATTTCCTCCTTGAGGCATTTAAATTTCAATTTATAAGATTACAAAATATCCTCAGACTCCAGCTGCTTTTCTATTTATCCCCAAAGGGAGTTAGCACCAATAGTAATAGAATAACAAGGATTATGGTTTGTTTTATTTATTTGACTGACAGTATATTTTTTCAAAAAGAGAGAAACGCAAGCAAACCCATTATGTATTCTTAGTGGATTCTGAAAACGCTGATGTAGGAACTTGTAATACAGACAATTAGACTGATAGGGGAAAATGAAGTGAAAATTTAAGGAAAAATGTACAGTAGTATATAGTTTCTCTGACATATTTAACAATATTATATTTTTATTTATTAGTAGGAAAAAAGAATTTTGCTTCCAGAGATGTCATGAACCCAGACACAAATTCTGTCAGAGATCTCATACGGCATCCAAAAAAGAACTGCATTTTGTAATACCAGTGTGTGTCTGAAGGGATCAAATTATCTCAGAAAACCGCAAACCTTTTACTCTCATTATTGAAATTTATATGAAGACTGATCAAAGCCCCAAAGTATTCTGTGTTCAATCTTTCACTACAATAATTAGACTGTGGCAGTGGGAATAATAAAAGATGAGTCTAAGTAAATAGCTTTGGATACATTGAAGGGATGATTTCTGGAATTATACACCAGGGGTTAGCCAATTTATAATCAAAAACTGAAAAAAGGTAATAGAAAAAGCAGCAGATATGAACTGAGGAACATTAAACTATTAACCTTATTAACTTCATTGAAGCAAATTAATATCCTTTTAAAAGGATATCATAAAGAAAAAATATTACTGTTTAATTTATGTTGAATTAATTATATTATTTAGATGATAATTCTGATTTAAAACAGACCTTATTTGGGAGATGCTGTAAGACAGCATGAAAGTAAAAGAATAGGACTACTTCAACGTTCTTCTCCACTACTAGCAGCCAGTGAATAAAGAAGTAGACAAAAATATTTTTTAACTTTAACTTAGTTTTGCTACTAATATTCATTTTCTCAGTTGCTTATGTCTTTCAAATGCTAGGAAGGTATGAAAATGCATGCCTTAAATAACCAGGCAACTATCTTCAGTGGTCAGTTATGACCACTGCTGCTTCTCGGTTGCTAAAGAAAATCCCTAATCAAACTATAATTTCCAGCTCAAATCTTTTTATACTTAACTATCACCTTTTGTTCCCAAACTACAATCTTTTGTTCCATATGCTCTGGTAGAGATACACAGGACCCAGATACTATCAATGTAAAATTCTCAGAATAACATGAAAACAAACAGCTTAAAAGGATCCAACCACAAACCCAGTGGGAAACATGTCTTTGTGTTGAAACTCAAGAAAGAAAAGCCAGTATTTTTATTTTTTCTTTCCCTAAACTTAGTAGTGTACAACATAGCTATTATGGCCCAAAGAGTTTCTATCAATTTTTTTATAAGTCTGTATTTCACATACTTATTGCAGCTCAGAGCATTAAATCTAAGATCTTACTATGTTATCTTGATTACTTCGTAATGGACAAAACACATAATATAGTTCATT